CATCGCCGATCCCACCACCGTCTTCTGTATCAACCGACTCACGTTGATCTATCAGACTGCCTAGTCCGACCCAGCCGAACTTCTCCGACTACAGACATATTCCAGACCTCTCAAGTCGTCACCGTGACCACCGTCATCCATACACACATGTCACATGTGTAGCGACAAAGAAAACCAAAGAAAAAAAATTCCCTCATAGCTTTCCCGTGTGAATCACACGTATGTTTTTTTTTCGAACCGGGCTATACCCCTTTCCATTGCAAATGAACGGAAATACAGAGTTCATAAACATGTCAGGAGGAGGAAAAGAGGTAAAGCGAGTCCGGGCACTGCCAGGAAACCCACTACATTCGCCCGCCATCGAAACGAATGTCATGGGGCGAAAACCTAGACAGCATCGAATATCCACAGCAAACACCCATAAGTTTTTAACTACAGACAGAGACATGAGACATCCACAAAAGAACCAAAACGCCACCACATGATCGTAAGGTCGCCCAGCTCCAGCCAACGAGGTTTTGCAGCCCTTCAATCTCCTCCGATCGGCACCCTCGTCGCGTTGCACATCTCCATCATACGCATCATGCTCGACCTGATCATCTCAGCACCGCTTCGCAGCTCCTTGGCGCCCTCCTCCTCCTGCAGCCCTGTCCAGTACAGTAGGAAAGAACACATGGAGAAAACAATCTCAAAAGGCGTTTTGATAAGCTTCTTTTCGAACGTAGCTCGGTTTTGAGCTAGCCAAATGGCCCAGCAAGCAGCAGCCAAGCCCACCGTATAGTACTTTTGTCCATCAGGGAGAAAAGTGTGGCACCAAGCAAAATATTGCCAGTAGCTATTCGGGCACATCTCAGTACCCAGAACTATCCCAACGCATCTCCGGATCACTTTAGCAACAGGGCAAGTAAAAAACAGATGTTGGGAGGTTTCCAACTCATTACAAAAAGAACATGTGGGATTCCTAGTCCATTTCCTCGTTCTCATAACTTGTCTAGTGAGCACCGCGTCCTGGGACAATTGCCACATGAAGATTTTGATTTTGAGAGGGATATTGGCTCTCCAAATCCATCTATAATGGCAACCACTAAGAGGGTTTTCAAGCCATTTATACACAGATTTAGTGGAAAATTTGCCATTGCTATTAAGCCCCCAGTAGACCCGGTCCCCACCCTGACTCAGCTGGATATTATTGATCGTTTTGTTTATTTCCTCCCATTGACGGGATAATTCAGGAGTGAGTCTCCTTCTAAAGAAAGAATGGACGTCCACAGACTTGAAATTAGCAGTAGTGCAATCCTGATTATTGCAGATCTCAAACAGCGAAGGGTAGAGGGTCTGAAAAGGACTCAACCCGTTTATGGAATCTTTCCAGACTCTAACAAGGTCACCAGATTCCAAATGGATCTTTCTACCTACCAAATAGATATCTTTGACTTTAAGCAGGGCTTTCCAACAGGGGGAATCAGAAAATCTAGGCTTAACCGACGCCATAGATTTATTAGTCAGGTAGCGCGCCCGAACAATATCTTGCCACATACCCGTTTGGGTCTCTAGTTTCCACCACCATTTGACCATCAAACTAACATTCTGCTTGTGTAAATCCTTCACGCCCAGGCCACCCTTATCTCTGGATCTGCAGATCCTATCCCATCTAACCAGATGGTACCTCCTCTTCTTATTGCAGCCTTGCCAGAAAAACTTCCTTCTGTGTTTGTCTAAGCACTCGATGAAAGTTTTATTCATGAGCCACATAGACATATGATATAAGGATAGTTGGGTGACTACCGAGTCTAGTAAGGTCAGCCTCCCCCCCATCGAAGTTGCATTGCCTATCCAAGCTTCAAATTTTTTCAGATATTTAGTAACAATGAATTCCCAATCTGAATTTCTAAGGTTGGTATAGCTGACAGGCATCCCTAGATATTTAATGGGAAAACTGCCCACTTCGCAACGAAATAAGTCTGCATACATATTCACCACATTATCATCGCCTCCCACCGTGAGGATCTCACTTTTCTGGAAGTTCACCTTAAGACCAGACATCAATTCAAATATATGGAGAAGCATTTTCAGATTAACAGCTTTGTCAATGTCATGCTCCAGGCATATGATGGTATCGTCCGCATACTGAAGAACTGCTACTCCATTAGGAATTAGATTAGCGGCCAGCCCCACTATCAGGCCACTCTTTTGGGCATTTGTAATCATTTTAGCTAAACAGTCCACAGCCAAATTGAACAAGAAAGGGGAATGGGGATCACCTTGTCAGACCCCTTTCGCACTTTGAAAGTAAGGGCCAACTTGGTTATTCAGTTTAATGCTCACAGTCCCATTGTGCAGGATACTTCTAATCCACCCGCACCATTTTTCGTTAAAGCCTCGGAGCCTATGACACTCAAGAATAAAATCCCAGTTGACTTTGTCGTAAGCCTTCTCAAAATCAAGTTTCAGAATCACACCCACTCTCTTTTTCACATGAGTATAGTTAAGGATTTCATGCAGAGACATCACACCGTCCATGATGTTCCTTTTCTCACAAAAGCGTTCTGGGCCCTATTTATGAGCTTATCAGCATATTTTTCAACTCGCCTATCTAAGACCTTAGTGATAAGTTTGTACGGACATCTCAGGAGGCAAATCGGCCGGAACTGTTGAATCTTGTCTGCGCCCGCAGATTTGGGGAGAAGAGTAATCACTCCATAATTGAGGCGTTGTACGTCCAATCCCCCTTTATGAAAGTGTTCAAACAGGAGCATAATATCACCCTTCACGATATCCCAACACACCTGATAGAATTCCACAGGAACGTTGTCCGGCCCGGGCGCTCTATTGTGTGCCATAGCAAACAGAGCTTTCTTAACTTCAGTCTCCGTAAAGGCCCGACACAAATCAACATTATTCTCCTCATTAAGTTTTTCATTAGTGGTCCAAGTGTCAGGATCCATATGGAACTCATTGTCGGGTGCAGGTCCGAAAAGGTTTCTGTAGTACTCTGTTGCATGAGCAATCAGATTACTAGTTCCTTCTATTTCCACATCCCCAGCTTTCAGGGAATGGATCGTGTTTTTCCTTTTACGTCCATTCGCAATCTTATGATAGTAGTCAGTATTGAGATCCCTTTCAGCAGCCATCTTTCATGAGATTGCTGCAACTAAAAGATCTCTTCGTTCACCAAAAGCTCATGCAGTTCCATACTAATATCCACTTTGGTGCTGCACATTTCAGGGGACAGGGGGCCATTTTCTTCCAATTCTTCCAACAAGGCTAACTCCAACCTGAGCTCTTCTTTCCTTCTCTTGTCATGACCATAAATCACACGTATGTAGCTTCTGGATCCCTTCTTTTATTTCTTTCTTGATGATAGCATCACGATCAAACTCTAGGTCCTTGTGCCAAATTATTTTTCTCAAACAAATCTCACATAGTACGCAATGCTCCTGGACTTCAGCCCCAATTGTCTCAGCCCTCCTCATGCAACACTCATCAAACCGAGCTTGTCTCCAGCCCCTGCCCAGCAAACAACTCCGAACTGGCCAGCGCCATGGGCCGTGAAAGCACGCCCCGTATGGGCCACCTCCTGCCTCCCTTGGACCGCTGCCCTGTAGCTGCTCCCGTGCGTCCGCTGGCTGACGCCCACGCTCAGTCCTGTTGCCGCACGCTACCTCGGCACGATTCAATCTCGCCGAACCCAGCTTCGATAGCTTCCTGAAGATTTCCACCACGAATCCATCTACTTGCGGATCGCTCTGCAGCAACTCATCCACGATGTTTCGTTGATTCGCTTCCGCTCCCACGATCGCTTCCCGGAGAATTTCATGGATATTTTCTTCCCCTCTAGATCAACAATCCACCGAGACCTCGAACAACCTAGCTCTGATACCACTTGTTAGAATAAACCCGAGGCATACCGTCAATCATCCGGAGACGAAGCAATCACACGAGCACGACACCGAGATTTGTTAACGAGGTTCACCGATATGGCTACATTCTCAGGGCTTGACTACGGGCGCTCCTCCCCGTGATACCGTCACAATATCGCCCTGGACGCCGGCACACGCCGCCGGCTTCCCCTGTGTTCCGGTGCTATTATGTTGGCATAGGTTACATCGTGTGTCTACCCCCGCTATATATGAGAGGCCTAGGATACAAGTGTCCTATTAGGACACGACTCCACATCTTATGTAAACACAATACAACTCCTAGTCTAACTGTAACCTACCTTGTACACAATATTCGACACAACTCTAACAGTAATGGGGAGTATCATATACTAGTATCATGCATATGATACTAGTCTATGATAATACTACATTCCTAATGCATAGTATCATAAGTTGGTATCATAGAGGACTACATTTATTGCCATGCATAACACAAAATAACACATCATTTAATATGATACTCAAGCCTCTCTTTCTTCATTTAATTCTATGTCACCTCATCAAACTTGCTTAGTTGGCATGCATGATACTACCTATGATACTCCCATTACGGGTAGCCTGAGAATGCCTTGTAGTGGGGAGTAACTTCTTAAGAATGGTAGATTCTCTTCTAAAGATATGATGATTTTTGTAGGGAAAAAAATTCTTCAGAGCCCCTTAGTTTGCATGAATAGAATCCTATTCCTATACAGGATTGATTCATATCCTCTGTATTTTTTTTTTCAAGGAAAAGAAACATTGGTCGGACTCGTATATGAATGATTCCATATCCTCTGTTTTTCAAGGAAAAGAAACATTGCTCATACTCAATGCTAAAAATCATACTGTCTGGACCAAATGACATCTCTTTTTATATTTCTATTCATAGAATTTGAGATACATGCCATCTCACTTTCTACAGCTTTCCCATTTCTGTAGTGTTCATATCCTACACACCAAAGGAGGCCTTAGCAGGTGCAGTGCTTTGATAAGTTTCAGACGAATAATCACGAGCATGGATGAATGGTCCCAGACAGATTATTTCCACAATTCCTCACCAGGTTCAGTCGCAATGTAATATCAGCACACCAAACCTTTCGTGCAGTATACAGCAAAGACAAACCACCCTATCAGAAGCAAACAGAATGCCAATATCCCTATTAGGAAAGACCAGCCGGCCATAAAAATACCAATGCACGTCACAGTTACGAATGGCGCGAATGACCGAACGATAGACATTTTGTCCACCCACTCGCCGTGCAGCCAAACAAGAGCTGCCACGTTCAAAACATTCCACTCCGCCGAACCACCGTGGGCAAGCCGGTTCAGGCAGTTCGCCACGAATGAGTAGCAGTTGCAGGTGAACAGGTTGTAGTATTTGTGCTGGAAATGTCTCGTGCCCAGTTGCAGGGCTCCATCCCATGATGTTGCTGTTCCAACTTCTGTGTGTTTGTACGGCCACTCGCATACATGTGCCGCCAGATTAGCAGGAAAGCAGCACTGACCATGAACAAAACAAGAGTATTTCAACAATAAATCCCAACTTCAAAGGAAAGCGCTAAAAGAAAAGGTGGCATGCAAGTAGGTTTTGCAGAAGATAATGATAAATGAACAGGATTGTGGAACAACATATACAACTTCACCATATAGATTATCAGATATCACCTTTGTCAACAAGAGAAGTTAATCTATAGAACGCCACACTAACTATTTATAGATAACACTGTTACTAAAGAAAACAAAAACTGATACTGATGATAAGATTTGCAAAATGTTTACAGTCATCCTCTGTGTGATAACTGGCAGGAGTCTCCCGTTCAGTATCCCCACCCATTCGTATAACATAACAGAATCTTCACTATTTATATGATAGTAAGCCCAGGTGATGTGCAACTATTTACTGTTTTAAAATGGTCTTTCAAGGACAGCACGCCAGAAGAACAAAGCAAGTTACCTCACAGATACTTTAGAGGTTACTGAAACAGAAACTACATATCGAAATGAACTACTACCAAGTAAAATATGTTGACAGCATGTCACTCATGAGACTAGTAGACATTTTCCTCCAAGTAAACAAAGGATTTTATTAGCAGCCAAGATAAATAAGAGGCCAACACTATAAAGAAGAAAACAAAAATAATAGGAATCAGATATACCTTATTTCTGTCCAGCTGGAGGTATCTAGAGACAGAACCATATGCAAAATTATCCATGCTCACTAAATTTGAACCAGCAAAATCCAGGACAGATCCATCCTCCTGACAGATTCCAACATGCCCTATGTAAGGAGCAAGCCATGAAACTATAGGAAGAGGAGTCCAGACAATGCAACATGGGAATCGCCCTCTCTTTGGGTCTATCTCACCAACTGGCCACAACTCCTGCAGTTCATTGTTTGATCTGGAATCTTCAACATCAAAATCAGCTTCAGCCTCCATTGAGGAAAATACTTCAGTTAACATTAGTGCTCGATGAACTTATAGAAAATCAAATGTGCTTGCATCTCATGACCGTGTAGGCCTTTGCTGAAAAGAATGAACAAATAAAATTAGGCTCATCATGCTTTTGGAGAAAAAGGTGAAGAATTATAATGAGCTCTACTCCCTCAGTTCCAAAATACTTGACGATCTAGGTTTGTCCTAACTCACTTCTTTAAGTTTGATCAACTCTACAGAAAAATATACAAACATTTACGACCCCAAATTAGTTTCACTGGATTCTTCAGAAAATATATTTTCATGCTATCTATATTTGAAGTTGTGGATATTAGTAATTTTTTCTATAAACTTGTTCACAATTGAGGAAGTTTGACTTAGGACAAACCTAGAACTTCAACTATTTTGGAACCGAGCGAGCAGTTTAGTACTCCCCTCGTTTCTTTTTAACTGTCGCCAGCCTTGGGGTTTCACTTTCAAATAACTGTCTGTCATGTGGGGCACGTCCTACAGGCGTGGGCCACGCAGCCAGGAGCAGCAGCCGTCGGCCGCATCAGGCGAGGCGTAGGCTGGGCAGGAGTCCTGGTCCTGATACATTAGTTCCTAGAATAAAAGACTAGTTTGTTACATATAGGTTTCTAGTTTGTTAGCAGCCCATGGGGCCTTTATATATCGTATAATCAGCACCCTTTGAGGGCAAGCAATAAAGTTATTATCTCCTACCTCTTCCTCCGTCTCCTATCCTCTCCTCCCGCACCATTGAGCAGCCAGGCAAAAACCCTAGCGCTCCTATCCACCGAGACTACGAACTACGTAGTCGAGGCCCCGCTGTCTTGGGCACTGAGGCCCTTGACAACTTGGTATCAGGTTCCAGCCGCTCCTCGGCCTCCTCCACGCTGCACCCGCCGCCCCGCCCACCTCCATCGCCGCCATCCGCCGCCGCCTCGGTTTCTTCCGCCATGTCGGAACCCACCACCGCTGATTTGGCCAAGATGATCGAAGCCCTGACTGCAACCGTGACATCCCTGCAGTCGTCCGTGGCAGCCCTCCAGAAGGAGAAGTCGGCCTCCTCGTCAGCCGCCGATATCAGCCACGACGGACAGCACCACAACGATCGGCCCCCGCGGTTTCAGAAGATGGACTTCCCCAAGTTCGACGGCAAGTCCGACCCGCTCGCTTTCCTCAACAGATGCGAGTCCTTCTTCCATCAACAACGGATCGCCGAGGAGGAGAAAGTCTGGATGGCGTCATACAACCTCGAGGGTTCTGCCTAGCTGTGGTACATGCAGGTCCAGCGTGACGAGGGCACTCCGCCGTGGCGCCGCTTTTCCGAGCTGCTCAACCTCCGCTTCGGGCCTCCTCTGCGCGCGAACCCGCTGGGCGAACTGATGGCGTGCAAGCGCACGACGTCCGTCGTCGACTTCCAGGAGCGGTTTGAGGCGCTCCTTCCCCGGGCAGGCTCCTTGTCAGAAACGCAGAAAGTTCAGATCTTCACCGCAGGCCTCCAGCCACCCCTCAGCCTCGACGTGGAAATCCATAACCCGCAGTCCCTCGCCGTCGCCATGAGCCTCGCCCGCAAATTGGAGCTGCGCGACCAGTGCGCGCTTTCCGCCGCGCCACCGGTGCGTTTTCCGCAGAAGGGCATTCTGCCGACGCCAGGACCACGCCTCGCGCCCCCCGCACCGGCCCCACCAGCCGCACCCCAGCATGGCCACAGTCTGCCGGACGGGCGCCCAATCAAACGTCTCTCCCAGACAGAGATGGAGGAACGCCGTCGCCTGGGCCTATGCTTCAACTGTAACGAGAAGTTTGGCAGGGGCCACAACCGCGTGTGCCAGCGCATCTTTCTCCTCGACTTAGCGCCGGACGACGACGACGACGACGCGGCCTCCGCTACTGATGATGCATCGCGGGCCGACCCTCAGATCTCGCTCCACGCAATCTCCGGGGTGCGCACGAGCGAAACCATGCAGATGCATATTACTCTCGGGGGTGTCTCCCTCCTCGCCCTGATCGACTCAGGCTTCACCCACAACTTCATCGCCGAGGAGGCGGCCGCTCGTGCTACGCTGCCATCCCCCACCACCGAGAAGATGCGCGTCACGGTGGCCAACGGTGAGCGCGTTCCGTGCCAGGGCGCGTACCGCGTCGTGCCCTTCCGCATCGGCCAAGAGGAGTTCTCGGAGGATTTCCTCGCCTTGCCGCTCGCGGGCTACGACATCGTCCTGGGCACGCAGTGGCTGGCGACGCTCGGACCGATCCTGTGGGATTTCCGCGCCCTCTCCATGACATTCTGGCGGAGGGGCCATCGGGTGTGCTGGCGCGGCATTGCAGGACCGGACGGGCCAGCCCTGAAATCATGCAGCGGCCGCGACTTCCTCGACGCCATCATCACCGAGTTCGACGGCATCTTCGCCGAACCCTCCGGCGTGCCACCGCCCCGCAGCCGCGACCACGGCATCACCCTGCTGCCCGGTTCCGCCCCGGTGGCCGTCCGTCCGTATCGCTACCCGGCCGCGCACAAGGACGAGCTGGAGCGTCAGTGCGCCGCCATGCTCGCCCAGGGCATCATCCGAGCGAGTTGTTCCGCATTCTCGTCCCCGGTACTGCTGGTCCGCAAGGCCGACGGGTCCTGGCGCTTCTGCATCGACTACCGCGCCCTAAACGCCATTACTGTCAAGAATGCGTTTCCGATCCCGGTGGTGGACGAACTCCTCGACGAGCTCCGGCACGCTCGTTTCTTCACCAAGCTCGACTTGCGCTCCGGCTACCACCAGGTGCGGATGCGTGCGGAGGACATCCCGAAGACCGCCTTCCGTACTCATGACGGCCTCTACGAGTTCCTGGTGATGCCGTTCGGCCTCTGCAACGCGCCGGCAACGTTCCAGGCCCTCATGAACGATCTGCTGCGGCCGTACCTGCGCCGTTTTGTTCTCGTCTTCTTTGACGACATCCTCATTTTTAGCGAGACATGGGCTGACCATCTCCGACATGTGCGCACCGTCTTCACCGTCCTGCACCAGCACCGGCTCTTCGTCAAGCGATCCAAATGCGCATTCGCCGTCGAGTCGATCTCATACCTGGGTCACACCATCTCCGCTGCAGGAGTGGCCATGGATCCGGAAAAGGTGCAGGCAGTGGCCGAATGGCCGCAACCACGCTCGGCGCGTGCGGTTCGGGGGTTTCTCGGCCTTGCGGGGTACTACCGCAAGTTTGTCAAGGAGTTTGGCGTGGTTGCCGCGCCACTAACGGCCCTCCTTCGCAAGGATGGTTTCTCCTGGTCGCCGGAGGCGGCAGCAGCTTTTCACGCCCTCAAGACGACAGTCACCACGGCTCCCGTCCTCGCGTTACCGGATTTCACGCGGCCGTTCATCGTCGAGTGTGACGCCTCGACATACGGCTTCGGGGCCGTCCTTCTTCAGGACCAACACCCGGTGGCTTTCTTTAGCCGGCCAACCGCGCCACGTCACCGTTCCCTGGCAGCATATGAACGGGAACTCATCGGCCTGGTGCTCGCGATTCGTCACTGGAGACCGTACCTCTGGGGGCGCCAATTTGTGGTAAAAACGGATCACTACAGTCTCAAATTTCTACTTGACCAGCGTTTAGCAACCATCCCGTAGCATCATTGGGTCGGCAAACTACTGGGGTTCGACTTTACCGTGGAGTACAAGGCCGGTAGTACAAACACGGTGGCGGATGCCCTTTCCCGCCGCGACACGGAGGAGACGTCGATCATGGCGATCTCGGGTCCTCGCTTCGACTTCATCGATCGCCTCCGGCAAGCGACGTCCACAGATCCGGCGCTCGTCACACTGCGTGAGGATATCACGGCGGGTACGCGGCAGCAGTCGTGGGCTCTCTCCGACGGCCTCGTCACTTTCAACGACCGCCTCTACATTCCGCCGTCGTCCCCTCTACTCCAGGAGATTCTCAGTGCCGTGCACGATGATGGGCATGAAGGCGCCCTGCGCACCTTGCATCGTCTCCGCCGCGACTTCCACGCACCTAACCTTTGCAAGACGGTGCAAGAGTACATCCGCACTTGCAGTACTTGCCAGAGGTACAAGTCCGAGCACTTGCACCCCGCTGGGCTGTTGCTGCCGCTGCCGGTGCCCACGGGCGTGTGGACTGACGTCGGCATCGACTTCGTGGAAGCGCTCCCTCGCGTGGGCGGGAAGTCTGTCATCCTCACCGTGGTGGATCGCTTCAGCAAGTATTGCCACTTTGTGGCGCTGGCCCACCCGTACACGACAGAATCAGTGGCGCAGGTGTTCTTCGCTGAGATTGTTCGTCTCCATGGCGTGCCGCAGTCCATGGTCTCTGACCGCGACCCCGTCTTCACCTCGGCTTTTTGGCGGGAGCTCATGCGCCTCACCGGGACAAAGCTGCACATGACGTCAGTGTTTCATCCACAGTCGGATGGCCAAACGGAGGCTGCTAACAAGATCATTGTGATGGACCTACGTTGTCTCACCGGGGATCGTCCCAGGCAGTGGCTCCGGTGGCTTCCCTGGGCCGAGTACATCTACAACACCGCCTACCAGACAGCGACCCAAGAAACTCCGTTCAAGCTTGTGTATGGCCGTGACCCTCCCACTATTCGCTCTTACAAGCCGGGCGACACGAGGGTAGCCGCAGTGGCCAGGAGCATGGCGGAGCGCGACGAGCTTCTCGAGGACGTCCGCTATCGTCTACAACAGGCACAGGCGGTCTACAAGTCCTACTACGACAGACGCCATCGGGACATTCGGCATGACGTGGGCGATTGGGTCTGGCTTCGCCTTCGCCAGTGCGCCACGTCCTCTCTCAACTTGCCAACCAGGGGCAAGCTCAAGCCACGCTTCTATGGGCCGTACCGCATTTCAGAGGTCGTCAACGACGTGGCTTACCGCCTTGAGCTTCCGGCACGCTCGCGCCTCCATGACGTGTTCCACGTGGGCCTCCTCAAGAAGTTCTTCGGCACGCCTCCAACTGCACCGCCGGGTTTGCCTCCGGTCCACAACGGAGCGGCTGTTCCAGAACCGAAGCGCGTGACTCGTGCGCGCCTAGCACGCGGCGTTCGCCAGCTACTCGTCCACTGGAAGGGTGAAGCAGCATCATCAGCTACATGGGAGGATCTTGACAGTTTCGTCGAGCGCTACCCCGCTTTTCAGCTCGAGGACGAGCTGCTCGTCGAGGGGGGGAGAGATGTCATGTGGGGCACGTCCTACAGGCGTGGGCCACGCGGCCAGGAGCAGCAGCCGTCGGCCGCATCAGGCGAGGCGTAGGCTGGGCAGGAGTCCTGGTCCTGATACATTAGTTCCTAGAATAAAAGACTAGTTTGTTACGTATAGGTTTCTAGTTTGTTAGCAGCCCATGGGGCCTTTATATATCGTATAATCAGCACCCTTTGAGGGCAAGCAATAAAGTTATTATCTCCTACCTCTTCCTCCGTCTCCTATCCTCTCCTCCCGCACCATTGAGCAGCCAGGCAAAAACCCTAGCGCTCCTATCCACCGAGACTACGAACTACGTAGTCGAGGCCCCGCTGTCTTGGGCACTGAGGCCCTTGACACTGTCCCTTGAGAAAACACTAATGTTGTTAATGCAATGATTCCACTCTCTTTAACTTTTGGAAGAGGTTAAGTGGTTGTAGGCCTGTGGTATGTCAATTCTTGTTAACCATTTCTTAGATTTAGTTCTTGCTTGGTTAACGCACATGTGGAACAGAGGACAGTTTATGGGGTAGTACTTCAACACCATTGCAAATCCATATGAAACGATCAGGGTACAAAAATGCTTATGGACATTAAGATAGGAACAATAGGATAGCAGCTATAACTTCTCTAAATTTCAATTACCTTGCTGTCCACTTTTACGAATTCTCCTCAATAAAAAATGTTGCCTAGTACGTAATTAGGAACTTTGGTCTTCTCACGGTCTACCCTTTTCGAACCCATAACAGATATCCTATCCCTTATCATCTTAATGCAGGGCTGAACAAGGGACAATTTTGCTATACCAGAGAGACACAGCGACACCTCATTAACCACAATAGATTGGCAAAGATACAGCTCTGACAACAAATACTATGTTATGAACCCATCTCTTTAATAGGAGAAGAGACGATGGACAACATAAGATCATATTGGCAAGGAAAGGAACACCAGTGAGCTTATTACAGAATGCTCGAGGCAACATTACATTGGCGTGTCCAGGAGCCACGCCTCCTCCCCCCATCCCAGCCGTTTGACGAAATGCACAAACAAAACGCAGGAGCAGGCCGTAGAGAGTGGCTCGATCTCTTCTAAGACTAAATGAATGCTTTAAGAAACGAATTGCGCCCAGCTGCACGAAGCAGTAAATCGATTTCTACAAACTACACCCGATGTTGAATGGCAGACTCTAATATATGTACAGTTCAATGCCCGAATGCAGTCTCCCTTGGTAGGAGTAGGATACCGAGACAGGGTGAATCGCAAGGCATTCGATTTCGTTTCAGGAATCCAGTAGCTGTTTCACCAGAGCTTCTAAGGTGGGCCCTACAATACAAGTACCGTACGGAACAATGGAACCGGCCCGAAGGGGAGCGGAGCAGAGAGATTTGAGAGGAAAGCTCACCGGAGAATGGGCGGGAGACGGCAGGGTCCTCCGCGATCTGGCGCCGGTGGAGGGGTTGGACTAGATTGGGCGCCGCGTACAGGTGAAGGCTGCCTTTGGCTTCGCTTGGGTAGTACAGTAGTAGCAGGGGAGGCGCGGTTGCAGAGGAAAGTGGAGAGCGGAGGGGCGGGACGGTGCATGCACCTGGACCGGAGCCCTCGTCTGTCATGGATGGGCGCAAATGGTAGGCGCCCGCACCGCGCACGCCACCCCCGCTTTGCCTCCCCTGACGCATTTGTCTGTTGAATACGTATTTGGTTACTTGTTTATTGGAGCTAGCTTGGTCGCTGACAAGCACGGCCCCATGCGCCAGGGAAAAAAGTTTGGCAACCCGCACTGCAAATGGCAAAAGATGACTGAATCGTTCTTACTACTCCAACTCTCTCCATTCCACGATACTTGTCCGCGATCTTTTATTTTTGCTATTAGGGACTCTTTCTTGCTATCCGAAGATGAAATAATCGTGCTTAAAATTGCTATCCCGAAATTGTACGGGAATATAATCCCAGCAACACAGCAAGAACTTAGTAAGAACACTCATCGACTTGAGCCTTTTAAAAAAAAAGAACACTCGTCAACTTGAGCCTTCGTTCTATAAAAAATGATGACTGAATCGTTCTTACTACTCCAACTCCCTCCGCTCCACGATACTTGTCCACAATCTTTTATTTTTGCTACTAGGGGACCCTTTCATGCTAGGGGACTCTTTCATGCTATCCGAAGATGAAATAATCATGCTTGAAATTGCTATCCCGAAATTGTACGGGAATATAATCCCAATAACACAGCAAGAATCTAGTAAGAACACTTATCGACTTGAGCCTTTGTTCTAGAAAAAAGAACACTCATTGACTTGAGCCTTCATTCTAAGAAAAATGATGACTGAATCGTTCTTGCTACTCCAACTCCCTCCGTTCCACGATACTTGTCCACATTCTTTTATTTTTGCTACTAGGGGACTCATTCATGCTATCCGAAGATGAAATAATCGTGCTTGAAATTGCTATCCCAAAATTGTACGGGAATATAATCCCAGTAACACAGCAAGAACCTAGTAAGAACACTCATCAACTTGAGCCTTCGTTCTAAAAAAAATGATGACTGAATCGTTCTTGCTACTCCAACTCCCTCCGTTCCATGATACTTGTCCATAGTCTTTTATTTTTGCTACTAGAGGACTCTTTCATGCTATTTGAAGATGAAATAATCGTGCTTGAAATTGCTGTCCCGAAATTGTACGGGAATATAATCCCAGCAACACAATAAGAACCTAGTAAGAACACTCATTGACTTGAGCCTTTGTTTTTTTTAAAGAACACTCATCGACTTGAGTCTTCGTTCTAAAAAAATGATGATTGAATCGTTCTTGCTACTCCAACTCCCTCCGTTTCACGATACTTGTCCACAATCTTTTATTTTTGCTACTAGAGGACTCTTTCATGCTATCCGAAGATGAAATAATCGTGCTTGAAATTGCTAAACGGAAATTGCACGGGAATATAATCCCAACAACACAGCAAGAACCTAGTAAGAACACTCATCGACTTGAGCCTTCGTTCTAAAAAAAATGATGACTGAATCGTTCTTGCTACTCCAACTCGCTCCGTTCCACGATACTTGTCCACAATCTTTTATTTTTGCTACTAGGGCACTCTTTCATGCTATCCGAAGATGAAACAATCGTCCTTGAAATTGCTATCCCGAAATTGTACGGGAATATAATCCCAGTAACACAGCAAAAACCTAGTAAGAACACTCATCGACTTGAGCCTTCGTTCTAAAAAAAGAACACTCATCGATTTGAGCCTTCATTCTAAAAAAATGATGACTGAATCGTTCTTGCTACTCCAACTCCCTCCGTTCCACGATACTTGTCCACAATCTTTTATTTTTGCTACTAGGGGACTCTTTCATGCTATCCGAAGATGAAATAATCATGCTTGAAATTGCTATCCCGAAATTGTACGGGAATATAATCCCAGTAACTCAGCAAGAACCTAGTAAGAACACTCATCGACTTGAGCCTTCGTTCTAAAAAAAAGAACACTCATCCACTTGAGCCTTCGTTCTAAAAAAAATGACGACTGAATCGTTCTTGTTACTCCAACTCCCTCCGTTCCACGATACTTGTCCACAATCTTTTATTTTTACTACTAGGGGACTCTTTCATGCTATCCGAAGATGAAATAATCGTGCTTGAAATTTCTATCCCGAAATTGTACGGGAATATAATCCCAGCAACACAGCAAGAACCTAGTAAGAAGACTCATCGACTTGAGCCTTCGTTCTAAAAAAAAGAACACTCATCGACTTGAGCCTTCGTTCTAAAAAAAGAACACTCATGTGATAAATGGAATGGCTCTAGAAGGTTTCGCTACCTGATTTATGCTGAGAAGGCAGAGAGCGGTTTGACGAATGAACGTGTTACACATGAACCATAAGAAACGGTGAAGTAACCGCAACTCGCCCGTGTAGGGGTTGTTATTTTTCCGTCTTACAAAATTTGTTATGTAAAACTGTAATTGTATTGTTCTTATCTTTTTTTGTTGAGGGAATTGTATTGTTCTTATGTGAATAAAGTAGTTTGTGTTCTAAAATAGGAGTAACAAACAGTGAAGTACTACTTGATATGTCGACCTTCAGCAGCACTATGTGTACTTGTTTTTGGCGAATCACCTTGGGCTTGTTTTTGGCCCAAGACAAAAATCACCTTATTCTTGTTTTTGGCCCAAAACAAGTACCCAGGTGAATCGCAAGACATTCGACTTTTGTACTTGTTTTTGGCGGAAGGGGCTCAAGGCCCTAGATTAGGCATCGTATGACCTTACAAAAACACCTGCACAAAAAATTACATTTAAATCCTTAAGGTGTTGAAATCTTCTTTCTCCTGCATCCATCGGCGACGTATCGTGAGCATGACTCAGTGTAGTCTTTGGGCCTCCGCCTCAGCGGAGCAAACTTTTTTAAACATGAGCTTGTAGAAGCAACAGTTGGAAAAGTCGTCAATGTAGACCAGGAGACACCGGAAGCTGTGACCGACGAAGCAAATCGTCGCCCTGGAGAAGAAAACGATGATAAGGCATGTAGAAACTACAAAGACCATGAAAGCTAGTTGAATCCAAATGGATCCACCAAAAACCTAAACTGATCGGATCCCAAAAAACCCTCCGGAGGCACAACTCCACATGCCCTTCGCTGACGATTAGCACACCAAAGGAAATGGGGAAAGGCAGCGAGAACATTATTACCACACTAGGGCAATGCGGCCGCCTCGCTGCCCCAAACCAAACACGGTGACTGCTGAAAGAAAACAAGAAAAAAAATCACCCATGTCGTTGCACACCAAGTCTGAGATCGATGGCGGGATCGTTGTCGTCCAGGACCATGCACCGATGCCCTCTTTGTCGGTGTCAAAACCGGCGGATCTTGGGTAGGGGATCCCGAACTGTGCGTCTAAGGTCGATGGTAACAGGAGACAAGGGACGCGATGTTTACCCAGGTTCGGGCCCTCTCTACGGAGGTAATACCCTACATCTTGCTTGATTGATTTTGATGAATATGAGTATTACAAGAGTTGATCTACCACGAGATCGTAATGGTTAAACCCTAGAGGTATAGCTTGTATGGCTACAATAATGAATTTATCCCCCCCCCCTCCGGACTAAGTCCTCCGGTTTATATAGACACCGGGAGGATTTAGGGTTACACAAGGTCGGTTACAAAGAAAGGAATCTACATATTTGGTCGCCAAGCTTGCCTTCCATGCCAAGGAGAGTCCCATCCGGACACCGGTGCAGTCTTCGGTCTTCGTATCTTCACAGCCCATCAGTCCGGCCCATGGCTAACAGGCCGGGCGCCCGAGGACCCCCTTAATTCAAGACTCCCTCAGTAGCCCCTGAACCTGGCTTCAATGACAAGGTATCCGGCGCGTAGATCTATCTTCGGCATTGCAAGGCGGGTTCCTCCTTTCGAACTCCAAGATAGTCTTCGGACGTATTGAATGTGTCCGAACCTGTAACACACACACCACACACAACCGCAGAGAGAATATAATAATCCATGAGTCCAATCTGCTGACCACTTTTTACAACATGACATTACGTCTGCCCGGTCATAATTTCGAACCGTTTTTCGTCTGTCGCTCCATGTTTCAAGACGTGGTTGCCATTGGCACGTCTTGTCGAAGCAGAGATCGTGTCCCCTTATTGCGGGATTCTCATCAATATGGGCGTGGGTAACCCAACCGTGTTGTTTACACAACCCTTGGGAGTAGGCGAATTCTAAGGCGAGTGGGGAGGCGTTCAATATTCGCTGCCCTTATAAGGAGATAAGAATCCCCTTTATTCTCCCACGCCTTCTCTCTTCCTCTGCCCTTCCACTCTTGAGCTCCAATGCCCAAGTTCTTATCTTTTTCCCACTCGAACAAGCAGTCAATCATGTCCGGATCCGAAGGTCAAGGCAAGTGGATGGCCTCCTCCATTAAGGAGAAGGACATTGCCGAGCTTCGGGCGGCCGGGTACCTGGCGAAGGAAATCGCCCACCGCCTTCCAGCCAAGCGACAAATTGTCCCCACACCGAAGCCCAGCTAGAGGGTAGTATTCATCCCCCATTTCCTCCACGGGCTAGGGTTTCCACTCCACCCTTTCGTCTGCGGGCTGATGTTCTACTACTGGATAGATTTCCACGACCTATCCCCGAACTCCTTCCTCAATATCTCAGTGTTCATCTTCGTGTGTGAGGCCTTCCTTCGCATCCAACCCCACTTCGGGTTGTGGATCAAAATCTTCAATGTGAAGCCGAAGGTGGTGGATGGCTAGCACGCGGAGTGCGGAGGCGCCATGGTGAGCAAGCTGACCAATGTCTCCTGGCCAAAAGGCACTTTCGTGGAGACTATCAAGGAATGGCAGAAACAATGGTTCTACATCACAGAACCCCGTGATGCCACCTGGACCGCGGCTGCAGAATTCAACTCCGCGCTCCCATGCGACTCACCTCCTGGATCGAGAAGAGCCTGAACTGGTGTTCGTCGGACGAGTTGATAGCGCTGCAAACGTGCATCCAAAGCATGGTGGATAAAGACATCAAGCTCGTCGACGTGATCCAAGTGATGCTGGTGCGCCAGATGCTCCCCTGCCAGAGCCAAAGCTGCCCTCTATGGGACTTCAATCC